ATGTGGTGATATGTTGTGATGTATTTGATGATGGCTGCAGTTTGAGGGATTGAAAACGTAGTCGCGAACGGACGAGTGAAAGATATTTACTGGGAAACTGTCGTCGGCAGGAATATCCATGACAGACCGGAGCTGTACCAGTGCTGTCTCTACATCCCTTCCCAAAGAAGTTTCGATATGTGCGAGATCGGCAGAGGGTCCACAAGGGCAGCGACGACAGACAAGTACTGATATGCCCGCATAGGCTTAGCACATATGGAAAGGATGCAGTCACACAACCTGTACAACTCCGGTAGTAACTCACTCGATAGCTCGAGCATGAGCTGAAGCCTATCACAGGGATCATGGTCTCCATCGTCGATGAACTTCATCATTGTAGATGCCACGATGAAACATCCGCCTGTTCGGCTCGCTAGTTGCGCAAGTTGATTCCTCGGTGGCTGCGGGAAATCGGGATGGCAACTTCCCAACTCTCTGAAGGAATGCTCCAAGAAGATACAGATGTCACTGTCAACATCTGCACCGTCTAATGAGAAGACAGTAGAAACACCCTCCCTAGAAGATTTCGCTGGTATTTCGCACACTAACGGGCGCACCACTTTGGTCTGAATGGCTTTGCGGATATGTTCCTCTGATCGACTCGTGAGCAGAATGTGGATAATGGGAAGATCGAGTTCTTGAAGAGCCTGACCTAGCAAGGCGATGAGATCGGCAAGCTCGCTCGCAGATATGCATTCGTCAGGGCATCAACAACAAATGCTGAAGGCAGACAATCCCGCAGTCTGAATCGAAGCATCCAGAGAGGCCGGAGAAACAAGGCCTCCACCTGGTCGTGAAGATATGTGTCGGGGTCAAGAAGAGCGGGATGCTCGCGAATAGCTCTGTTCACTTTCTCTCGTACGCTAGTAAAATTGCTGGCAAGCGTTGGAAAAAAATATCAATATCCAGTCGTGGAACGTTTTGTGTGCTTCCGCGAGAAAAAGAATGTTCCTGCGAGGCGCATTTCATGATTCTTCCGCTCTGTCACTTTCAAACTTTCATCCTTTCAGCTACTGTGAACGCGACAGCAGATTTTTTGACGCCTACTGTATCGTGAAGCCAGACAATTTTACTCTTCTTTCAGCTGTCCAATGATATGTTGATGCAGTCGAGAAGGTCCGCCCGGGTCCCTTTCAAACATTTCAGGTGGGGCTGGCGTTCCCGGGAGTCATACTCAACACCCTTAACAGCAACCTGGGATAGCTTTTCGCGACTTCCTTCAGATGATCTGGGGTCACCAGGGACTGTAGATTGATGAGATCAGAGAGAGAAAGAATGAGAGTTAGAACTGACATGATCGATCCCAGTGATTCATCATCGACGGTCGATGATAAGTTGCGACACTAGACCAAATGTGAGATGTAATGGAATTCAGTGAAATACTACTTGGCAAAACATTGACTATTAGGAATGATAGTCGATGGTTATCTCGAGGAGACGACGCAAGATAATGTTGATAAAAAAACTCAGTATTCTTGTAACAGTTGGATGTTATGTCTATGTTTCTGCGTCAGTCTGAGGTTGTCCAATTAAGGCTAAGAGTGTTCGACAGTATCTCACTAGCTGGGCGACGAAACAATCAAGCTGTCAAGAGATGAAGAATTTACATGCGTGCTACTAAGAGTTGCTTTAAATCGGACCTGGATGTTTCAGTCAGTCTTAAACCTCAGTGGACTGTGGTGAAATGTGGTTGAAAGGGGACCTGGGTGGGCGCTCACCTGAATCCTAATGCAGTTGTTCTGACATCCGAGTAGTATCCGCCTTGCCAGCGCTGATGGCCCGTGGGGCACCGGATCAGTACATCCGAGTTCGTATAAGGTCGTTCGAAAGCGCCCCCAATGCTCGTATGGATACACTTTTTAGTTATATCTGGTCGTCATGCATGATCGATAGCATCCGTCGCTTTTAGTTGATATCCGACGCAAGACTCTGTCACGGTAGTCACGGTCATCGGTTGAGTTAATTTAGCAAGTGCAACCAAATACAAACCATTTGGAATACAGCTCATTGTTCTCTTTCCATTTCTTTTCAAGTTCGTCGCTCAAGTTCGCGTGAATAATTAACTATCAATTATTCAAAGGGACTCTTGTTTCACTTTATCATTGTCAATGGGCTCGCGTTGCACGCTTCTTACGTTGGCCCAGCGGGCAATGCTCCATCATCAATGATCATACGCCAATTCAGAACCTCATCAACAGTGCATTCACGAGACTTGCACATATATGGACCAGCTTATCATCAGCCTCCATCACATGTTCTGGGCAAATATGGACTGGTACCTGGATAACATTTGCAAAATTGATATATGCCGCGTGTGCCGTAGCAGAATCCAGCTTCAAATGGGTAGTAAGTTGTTCGGTAGAAGCTTACCTTACTTCCACGAAGAGGCTGCTGCAAACACAAACCACGTACCAGTAAGGGCTCTTGCATGCTTTGACCTCCTTTGCTTATCGGTAAGCTTCTTTCCCGCTTTTCCCTGTCGACTTTGACCCATATCTGCCCTCCAAGATTGTCAACTCTCAACTTCAAATCGATCCAATAGTATTGGCGGATTCTGCCGTATCCTTGAACTGACTTTAGATCGCAATTACTCGTTATCTAGGGTCGTCCATCATAAGTCATGGCACCATTCTCTTCTGACTACTTGATTCGTAGATCCCGTTTTCTCTTTGACAGCGATTCTGCGATTCCCCCAACAGTGATGATTAACACATGTACGACTTTCAAGAAGTACAGTATGGTCTTCATCATTACTGGGGAGTAGTACTAGTCATTGGTCACTGGTTCCACCGCTTCACTCGATGATGTTTGACCTAGCTGTCAAGTTGCCAACTGACTAGTTGTCAAAATTGATAATAGTGTGTTTCCCGTCACGACCGGCTTATCCATTTTGTGTTCTTTTCAATTTACGCGAATAAAGCTGTGCCAGTGTATCTAGGCTTCAAACAGCCTCATGCACATAAAACACCGCTAGTTGCAAATTGTCGACTGCGCACCCTCGGTGGGCCCATCTATCTAAAAGGTAAGGTCTCTATTTTAATGAGGTCTAGTACGACTCCATCTAAACACCCATGGACTCTCAGGAAACTCTCCTCGACTGCATTTCTGAGCCTGAGTACGAACTCGAACTTGCTGCGCCAGATCCAGCATTCGGTGCAACGATACTAGACTTCGACTGTGATGATGCCATGATGACATCGACGGATGTCACAGTCCGTGGTCAGAGTCACATACGATACTCTGTCAAGACCATCAGGGCTGGTTTAGTAGGAATGACCCCTAAGACTGTTTTTAGTCATGGGGAGGGGGTACTGGCGACGATGCAGCGCAGGGTTATCATCCCGGATTTGCTGACGCTAGACGGTAAAACCATGAGACTTTGCAATTGGCTCAAGACGCCCATATTCTCATTGTTGTACGTTGAATTCGATAAGCTTTTGCATGCGGGATTTTTTACAAGGGATGATCATCTAGTCTTGGGTCGTTCAGCGAGGGGAGAGAGACGTATATCTGGAAGGAAGGCCGGGGTGGTAGAATCGATGTGGGTCCATCACTATCTGCATCAAATATGACCAAATTTTGACGATCTTTTAATAGCTGTGCAAAGGAAGCGGCACTAGTACCAGTACAATCGCTCGCTTCTACCCTTCCAATTACATTGCGACGCACAATCGCCGAAGGATGACGTGCCATGCTCACTTGGTCTTAGAAGCTGAAGCTGATCTCATACGCGAAAAGGTGTTTATATCCTGTGTGCTAATTGTACAAAGGATGAGGAAGAGGGCTCTGGCGAGGGAGCGGGAAGAACTGCTGGTATTCTGGCCTTTCATGGCTGGTATAGGCTGTGGGTTCCCTGTGGCCTAACTGTACAGAAGATGGGGGAGAAGGCGAAAACGAAGGAATGGGACTTGGGGTATTCGGTCAGGGACTTATGTTCTCCTACATGGCTGCCCCAGGCGGTGGATTCTGACTTACAGCTGTTTTTATAATTATGCGGAATCCAACTTTTTTGGGCTGGTCGGAAACATCCAGGCAGGACCCTGAGAGATTATGAGGGACACAATAGCTACAGTACTAGCTGTTTTGATCGATATACCATGTGTACTATAGAAATGGAGGATACATCATTCAAAATTGTTTTCTTGATCAATCTCGTGGTGTACAACCCTAAGGACGCTCCATGGCCCTGGGTAGGAATTCATTAAACGAACCTATATCCCATGAATCAGTAACTTGATCTGCGGCGACATAACAACATATAACAAACCACGAGCTCACAGAGAAATTCGACAAAACGCTTGCTTGCCACCGAGCCACGTAGAATATCATGGGTGATAATTCCATCAAAGGTGAGAATAGGAAGAATCGACCATCATGTGCCTCGGACAAAGGGTCTGGATCGAGCACAACGAGTTCTATGTGCTGAGTATCCCATCTGTCAATCTTGTTTTTCGCAGCCTCGTCTCTAAACATTAACATCTGATGCTGAGACATCGTAGAGTTCGGAAGAGGGTGGATAATGAAATCTTCACATGTCTGCAGGAGAGCAGGTGACTCTGAAGTTCATCTAGGAAGACTCAACTGTGTAAATAGCAGTGGCGGACTTGATGTAATTGATGCCCGAGCTGCAGAGTTTGGTATACGAGGGATTTTCGGAAGCCGAGAACCTCACAGATTTATTTGACAGAAAGTCCTTGTAGATGAAGAACAGGAATACAAAACTTTAGATCATATGAAACAGTCCAGGGAGGCATATCGTGCTGTGTGAATGAGTATTATTCTCGCGTTCAGTGGCTAAAATGGTGGTTTCGCAGTTCTGGGGTCCTTGGTCTCAGAAAAGTTGGACTCCACATAATGAAAACAGCTGTAACGTAATAGTACTGATGATCAACGAACATGATGAACATCTGATGAAACCATCCATAAGTGAGTGGCAAGTTGTAATAAGAGGGAAAAAACCTTGTAATCGGCAGGTTTCGAACCTGCGCGGTCCAAGACACCTGAACAGATTTTGACTCTGTTGAGGTGACCACTTCGCTAAGACCAGTCAAGGTGACGTCAAAGCACTACCTGTATTTCATGTACGAAACTTTGGTGTAGTCCAGCTTCAGTCCTGACTATTGCACGCTGATTAGCAACTTGAATGAGACGTGGCCTCCAAAAGAAAATCACTGTCGAGGTAGATGAAATGATCTTAACAAATGAAACGCAGGTCTCGGAGCTGAATGAAGCAATTGCTGTCAAAAAGCTGCCCGGAGGCTCCTGGGATGAGAAAGGGAAGACTGCAACTTTGGTCAGTATGAGCCACAACGACAGGCAAGAACAGACACTAACAAGTGAAGTAACTCCAGGATGGCGAACTCAAGTACTCGAGGCAGCTCCTGTTGCATGCGGCGCAGCAGCTTTCAGAGATATGAGATGCCTATTAACTTCCTTCCAATGGGTCCCATCGTACAAATCGGCCGAATACCCAGAAATACGATCAATGCAAGGAAACCAAGTAAAAATGGTGCGAGCAACAGCTTCAGGATGTGCCGCTAAAATTTTGGATCGCATGAACCGCAAATTTTCCAGGGGGCTATGTTGTATTGGCTTGGAATCAGTGTTAATATGAAGATCCACAGTATTGATTGGAACCTGCAGCGAACGTAACTGTGGACGTAGACGGAGCGCTGTGAATAATGCGCGGAATGTAACGGGAGAAGAGCAAAGACCCGAGTCAAATATTTCCAGAGTGTGGATGTGCGGCCAAGATGACATAGCTTCTACCAGAAGGTCATCATTGAGGTGGAAGAAGGTATCGAAACAAGAGAGCGATAGTTTTCGAAGCTGTGTAAAGCAAAAGAGATGTGGAATCACTGTCAGAGAATTGCCCCTGGATGCCCGATTTTGGCCTCTCAAGATAACGAAGATGTTTTCCAAGGTCTGGCATGCTTTGC